TTTAAAGGTTTCCCTTCGTGGTTTATTTTCAGAACTGAACCACCAAATGGACCAATGTGCTCAATACCATATTCCTCTGACACAACGCCTCCATCTTACCGCAAGTCAACGGTGAATAATTACAGTCCGTCATCGTTTGAGCACGAAACTTCTCATGCTGATAAAACTCGGCATTCGACCGGCTTATATGAAAGCGATCAAAGAACGCAAAGGTGGGACAGTGAGGTAAAGAAATCTCCGCTACCAAACGATTCTGGCTACCGTCAAAACAATTATCACAATTATGGCGACCGGAAGCAATTGAAAGAGAATTCTTATCCAAGGTACGGTTACCGAAGAACACCATGGTCACCGAGGGAAGCAACATCGGAAGAAATTTTTCACCTGTATCAAACAAGGGACGCCCTGGGAAATATCAGATATCAATGGTAGATTATACCAAAGCTGAATGTAATTATAATAACTTTTATGAAATTTAAACGGTGTCTGGGCTGTTATTGCTAAAATGCTTCAGAAAACTTAATTGTTAAGTAGGTGTACTAATATCATTTAGCAAAGTAATTTTTGCCGAACTATTAGAAAACAGTCAACAGTCAGTCAAACCTAATAAGTCTCAAGTTTTATGCTGAGTCACTGAACTGTTTCAACATTTCAGTAATGATGATTCCATTGAAAGCGAAGTAGGAATGGATTTAGTTAAGCTCGATGACAAGGAACCCAAAACATTACATGAAGACTTAAGTTTCCCTGGAGTATATAGCGAAACGTTGATTGAAACTGAAGAATGGCAAAAATGCATGAAGAAAATGCAATCGTCTGCACATCTCCCAACGTATGAAGAAGTTGCAACCCATACTGAATCCTATATAAAGGTGCCTACATATGCCGAGTGTAGACCTGTTTACACAAGTAACGTAGGATCCAGTTTACTTGGCGATGAAACATTGAAAAGGAAACCGTTGGAGGAAGAAACGATAGACACAGTGCAGTCAAGTGAAATAACTGCTGCTTTGACCGGAACTTATCATTTGGAGAAAAAAAATTTGACCATAAACGAATTACCTGCCGACAACTCAGTGGCAGCTCGGGAAAGTTCTGTCCAAGGTACAAGTTCCGTTTCGGAGACTTCAATAAGCTCCAGCACAATCGATCTAAATGCTGTTCCTTCAAAACCAATCCTCCATTGTTATCGGCGACCGACCCGAAAAGGTTTGCGGCCAAGGAAAAGTGTTCGTTTTCCTTTCACAGAACCAAAAGTGGTTCTGGATGAGCATAGACTTGTAATCACCGAACTTGAACTAGGCGATGATAAATGAGTTTTCTGCAGTTTTATTTTTTAAGCCATTCTTGTCAACAGTTCTATCTCTATGGAAAATTTCGGGTTTTGTTAGAGAAAACTATTTTTTTTTATACATATTTATGTTAATTATATGTTTATTGTCAATAATAATATGTATTGTATTTCTGCTGAATGTATGTGTAATAACCTTATGATGTTTATAACCGCTGTATAAGGTGGTCGTTTGCGACTGACTAGCCAAATGATAGAACCAAAAACTTCTGGTAAATTATGCTGA